TGACATATAGAGTGTTACATTCTTAATCAATGTACGTGTCACTTTCAACGACTGATTCCTCACCTTATAGTTGACTTACATGAAATGACTGTGCCTGGGATTGTGTGACTTATAAAACATTTATTCTCTGTTCAGTATTGCGTGACTCACGATGGGGAGGTGTTCGCCAAAAATAAGAAGATATACACTTCCGATTGCCTTCAGGAGTGCACCTGTACAGGTGAAGACGAGTACAGCTGTGTACCGCTATGCCCCATGCAGCACGTCAATTGCAAAATGGGTGAAATGCCGAAGTTCAAGAAGATAACAAAAACAAAAAGAGGAAGATCCTGCAAATGCGAAAGTAAGATGTTGAGTTTATTAGCAGCAATAATCTACCCTAATGCTCTAAAAACAATTCGCCATGGGAGACACTTTTAGAATTCCTTTTCGTTGTATATCAATTAGTAGTGTGTAGGACTCTAGAAGGATGCAAAGAGTGCAACCGTGATTACGCAGTACGCCCAGACGTTCCTATACAGACATGAGCACAGACCGTTGTAGCCTCTAAAATCTCCTAATCACAAACAAGCTGGTTTAGTTGCAGTTTTTGTTAGCTTTTTGCAAAATTAAAGAATGCAAGAGCTGAAATATACAATAATTTTCTTTCACCTTATTTTTAGCGTGGGATGGTAAATGTGTCAAGATGTAACCATGGTGACGAAATGGCGGTGTTAGCCTTACGCAATTGGGAAAAATACAATTGTAGTCATTAATCAGGGCACGGCTATGATCACATGTTGAAAGTATTAAAGAGTGTTTCAAATGGTTATGGCGTCTCATGGTCTTTCTCAAAAATATCTCGTCTTAATATTAAAAAAAAAAACAAAATTACGGATTAATGTTTCTCTGAAGATAGCATGTGGAAAAAAGTAGCATATAAAGTATATTGAGATAACTACTGCCATAAATGCGTTGGAACCCCCACCCGCTAGCTCAAACCCGGTTTACTTGAACTCCCACTAACTCGAAGAAGATCCAATTTCCCTTGGATTTATCTCATTCTTCCAGTCATTTTTATTTTCAACTTACTTGAACTCGGAAACTCCTTTACCTGCAACTCCACCTTAACTCGAACTAATTTCACTTCCCCTTTGCTCAAATGTACCAAGCAGAGAAAAAAAAAATTGGGAAAAAAATATTTCTTAAGGTCAGAGAACTGTCAAGAAATTTCACTTTGACTCAAGAATAACTTACTTCTTTGAAAAGATCAGGAAAAAGACCCATAGCTGCGGTAACCATGATGGGCGCTGTCACCCTTTGTTCTTTGGAATATTTGAGTTACTGCAGGAATGACCATGGACTAATTTCTTACTGAGATTCTACCGTGTTTTGGCCGTTGAAGGTCTGAGTACTAGGCTAACTATGGACCACCGCTGCAACGAAGAGCTAGCTTATACGAAGGTGAAATTAGACCGCGTATGCCAGGAGGGAAGATTACTTAATTCACATTGATTTCGCAATCGTTTCCCATAAATTCATTCATCTCCATATTTCTGACATTGATAAACATTGTACATATTGTCTAATCCGTCAATTCAGTATCCAAGCGGATGCCATATTAGGTTATGAGCCCATATTTGATCGGTAACAACGGGTTGTGTCATAAAAGCGATAGAACACATTTTTCTGGGTTCTAAAACGTGATAAAACCACTTGAGAGAGTTTTCTTCGTGATCCCCAGCATCCGACGTGGCTTTATCACGTTATAGAGCCCGGAAAAATGTGTTCCTTTTACTTAACCCATACTTTAAGGATTTCTAGCATCGTTTTGAGGGACGAGCATAATTTTTTTAACAATAGCCAGCTGGAATGAAAAACAAAAAAAAACAAAAACTTTTGCTACTGTTGTCTTAAAATTTAATAGCACAATCGATAGCAGCCTTAGTCAGCACCAGGCCTTAGTTTGTTACTGGGCAACTTTACTTTTCTAAAAAGCATTTTATTTTAGCATAACTTACCGGCAAATACTTTTACTATGGTCACAGACTCGCGGAGGACAGAGCATCCGTGACAAAACTGATTTAAAAATGACCATATTTGGCACATGATCGATTATGGCTGCGTTGATCATCGTACAAGCTTTTTAACCTAGGTTTGTCTTTGACTTGCAACTTTCATATTACAGAGGGCAGAATCATGAATATAACTGGGTTAGTCGGTGCCAAAATTTAGACATTTCTGTGACATTTGTAATGGAAAGAAACAGAGATGCAATTTTAATTTAAAAGTTGAAGCGCATTTAACTTTCTTCTTGTTTCTATTGTCGTTCGTTTATCACAGAATAAAATTGTATTCCCCCCCCCCCCAGCTGTAAAGATTTAACGAATTTCCCCGAGTGAAAACATGTATATAACAGTGAATTACGACCTTCTACGCATTCGGCATCAATGTATATCCCAATTAGCCACGCGCTATTGAGCTAAAAAAAAAAAAATGAAATTAGAACTGCGAAATGTTGAAAGTTACGTTCGATTTTTTACGCAAACAGTACGGCTTTTTTTTTCCTTTGAAGACGTTTTAATTAGAAAACTCAATATGTATTTGTTTGTATGTTCACTCTAACTCGAACACACCCCCCGTTAGGTTATGCTATTTGTGATTTTTAACAAATTGATAGCTTTGAGGAAAAAGAAAAAAAACACGACAGCATTTTGTTTTCCTTTTATTTTTAATATCAATCTCAGAATGGATGAACTCCTTATATTACTTTGTTTTTGCTTTGAGAACCCATTCGAATGACTTGTGGTCCTAAATTTTTTTCATTATCCCATATTAATCATGAAGCCACAATAAACAAAACAAATATTAGGATTCTTGCTAAAACTGTATTTGCATCCAAATAAGGGAAAATAACACGTTTCAAAAAGTTTTTATTAGAGCTCAAAGATCTTTTCATTCACTTTCTTTCGACGTCCACGGTTGACGAACAAGTTGGCTAAAACGAGGTAAACCCCTTTTCCTTTTTCTTAAACAATTTCGTGTCTTTTTTCCACTTGATTTAAGAAACTTGTGTGTTCGACGTTGCAGTTCAATGGATGGTGTTCTGAAGTCAACCTCTCCTTACGAAGTACGCCTAACTCTACTTTCAGAGAACCTTCCTCCATCTCTTTTTTTCTATTTTGATGCGGCAAAGGGCAAGATCTATCAACTAAATTATTCTCTCCAGGGTGAAACCGCCCCAAAAGTTATGGGGCACTCTGATTTCCTGTTAAGATATTTTGCAGCTCTCACGAACTCTCTCGCCATTAAGGTCCTCTTAACTGAGGGCCTTAATTGGGCTTGCCGTCAGCCGTATAACGAGAAAAAAAAGCCATTAGGAGTAAAAGTTGACAAATTCTAAATGTTAATTGTAAAAGAGAAAGTTAATAGTCACAATTTGCTCGTTAGCTTTGACAGAAAGAAATTAACCGTTATCCGTAAATGGCAAAAATTCCGTAAAAGCGATCACCCATTAAGGACCCTCTTTGCTGTGCCCAAATATATATCTATACATTCACCTTTATTCACCTTTATTACAAATTAGTACTCTATTACGCCACTCTCGATATTATCACATCTTT